ATCATAAACCAAGGGCAGTAAGGTCCATCTGTGGTCTAAGGGTTTACTTCCCTTTCAGAAAGTTAGTACTGGATGCAGGACAATTTTCAGCGATTAGTAAATTTGACCACAAGGCAAGACTATGATATGAGTGGAGTCTAACTATTACTATGACATATAATTAATTCCCTGCGGGTATGACCAGAATTATCTTAACAGCCACAAAGAGACGGACTGGAATGTCACTTTGCTTCCTCTCAATCCTCTTCTTCCCACATCCCCAAGTGTTTTCCCCTTAAGTGGATTCTGTACTAAATCATCATAATGATGGGCCCTCCTTAACTCAGTTTGTTCTTCTGCCCGTGGCATCCATTTCCGCTCTCCTAATTCACGGAGTTCCACGTTGTTATTGAAGCATTTCCCTGGGGATCTTTTAGGTGTCTACATCCTAGTTTCATTTTAGTATCTTCATTGTATCTTTTGCATTACATCAACAGTCTGTTAGTTTCAGACTTTGCCTTATGGTACCAAGTCGATTAATATATGATTTTGAAAACGTAAATATGCACACATACGACAAAGTGCATCAAAGTCGACAGAACAAAAGAAGCGGTTTGTGTTGGCCCACAGGCTGCAAAACCATGCCGTATAATAAGCACAGCACCTATAAAGAGGAATTGGGTTTGGTTCCTGCCCACTCAAATAATGTGTATGAATTTCTCGGTGGGATTCATTGCAGGCATTCAAATGCTGATTTTCTTTCTTTCTTCACTCTCACAGGGTTCACTTTCAAATGGGGGAGATGTAACTACGGCATAAATACTTTTAAAAGGAGGGGAAGGGAACTACAGAGAAATAGGATTCTATACATGAAGGAACAGAGACAGGAAAAAGCTCACAGCATTCAGAGAAGAATAAGTAAAAACAAGTCCACCCTGCAGTGTTCTCCAGGACCTTGTTAACAACTACATTCAGATGTTAATAAATCATTTTTACTGAAATTTTTTGGGGATGGGAGAGGAACCTGGATTAAAGTTATTTTGTTTTGCGACATCACCAAATAAGGATCTAGGCTATTAAATTACACAGCAAATGCCCATTTTGATTTGGCTTGGTTGGCTATTTATTTATTTATTTATTTGGACAAATACAGTCTGGATTTCATTTCCCAATGTTCCTAGTGGCAAACTTCTTGGTAGTATTTGAGAAACATGCTTTGGTATATGACACTTATTACCTAATAGCCTTGTGATCTGGGTTAAGTTATAAAATCTTTCTTCCTCAATTGCCTCATTCTCATAAGGTTGTTAGGATTAAATAAGATAACCATATAAAGTCCCCTGGCACATAGTAAGTGCTCAATAAATGGTAGTCACATTGGAGGAGGTAATCAAGAGGACATGACAGGCAGCTGACTTGAGAGTTGGACCCAGGCAATCAGAGGCTCCTCATTCCCAGTCCTGTCCTTGGCATATACACTCTGCCTATCATGCCCACGGTAGGAACAGCATGAGGCATCAGTAGAGACAGTCCGCCATGTATACATGCACTCTCTCACACATTTGTGAAATGCATTACATTTAGTGTGTGTATGTGGGTATGTGAGAGAATTAGAAAAGAATGTGTGTCTCCTTTCATTCTGCCACTTTATATTCATAAGAAAAAAAGAAATACTGAATAAAATGTTAACTAATTTCCCCAGATTACCTGGTCAATATAACAGTGTGTGGGGAAAGGGATACTGATAACAGGGGGCCCTGCAACAATGGCAACAATGGCAACAATGGATTGAATATCCCTTTAAAACTAAGCTGATCCTATGATTATTGTGTTTGTTTGTAATCACAGCCATAGCTCAGGGGTAAGAAGAGTAGGCAAAGCTCTTTGCCATTACTCTAAAGTATCTAGATAATAACAATAACCCTGCTATTGAAGTAGCAAAAATTATAAGGATATCTTTTATAGCATGGTTAAAAGTGGGGAACATGGAAAAGAATTTAAATTTCCAAGAATTGGGTAAACAAACAATGACAAATTCATACAATAGAATATTTTTCAGCTATAAAAATGATGCTGCAGAACGGTAGGCAATAACCTGGAAAGATATTAAAACATACTGTTAAGTGAAAACAGCAAGTTATAAAACATGTACATTCGATTATTTTTGGCTAGGAAATACCACCTATCATTTATTCACCTCGCTTGCCATCAATCACCCACGTATTGAAGTGTATGCATCAAACTGTGAAAACTAGTTATCTCAGTATGAAAAGATTATTGGTCATTTTATGTTTTATTTTCTTTTTGCTTATCTTTATTTCTTTGGTATTTTTTCTATGTTGACTATCTCTTACTTTTTAGAATGGTAAGAAAAATAAGAAAAAAATAAGAAAAATAAATACTATGGACTATAATGAGAGAGAGTCACAGTGAAAGAGAGTGAGCAACAGTGTGAGAGGGAGTATGTTTATGAAAGAAGAAAGAGAACATTCATTCAAAGACAGACTGGTGTCTCCGGGCCTGAAACTCTGCTTCTGGTTTTCAACCTACCTTCTACGTTAAAGTCATTCAAGCCTTGTTTCCTGATGGATAACCAATCCTTTTGGCTATGATGTGTCTCCCTATGGCTCATACCTATAACCTGAAACTGACTCCAGCCTACGTTCCAGCCCCGCTTGGACCCCACCTCCCTAAACCTATGTAGTTATGATATGAGAAGATTTTGCTCTAACTTGGAAGTTGGACCTTAGATGATATACCAGCTGTGTCGATTTTATGATTGGTGGGGATTATTTACAATACATATACATATACATACATGAAGTAAACCTCTAGTTGATAATGGAGGTATAAATTAATTGCCAATTGTCATTTATTAATTCTCTTAGCACTTTTTTTTCTTGACACCTAGATCAGTTTTCTGAATTATATTACCTGCCCCTGATCCCTGGCATATATTATATAAATGTGAGTATAAATTTTTGTAAATTAAAACTTATTTGTAGATAACATTTCAGTAATTGAAATTTTAATATATTGGGAAGTGATTTTAGTACTTATAGCTTTATTCCTTAATGTTAAAAATTAAACATTCAACATTACTTTAAAGCTGGTTTTCTAAATCTTTTCACTTATTCACCGATAATGAAGAACAAAATTTAACTCATCTGGTTCAATTTTTTAAGTTTTTTTTTGTTTATTTCTGAGAGAGAGAGAGAGCACAAGCAGGGGAGGGGCAGAGAGAGAGAGAGAGAGAGAGAGGGAGGCATAGAAGCAAAATCAGAATCTGAGCTGTCAGCACAGAGCCCGATGTGGGGCTCGAACCCACCAACCAGGAAATCATGACATGAGCTGAAATCAAATGCTTATCTGACTGAGCTACCCAGGCACCCCTCATCTGGTTCCATTTTAATGAAGGGATGGTGCTATGGGCTGAATGGGTCCCCCTAAAATTCATATGTTGAAGTCCTACCCCTCAAAATGGTGGCATTAGGAGGCAGGCTTTAGGATGTGATCAGATCATGAAGGCGAAGCCCTCCTGAATGGGATTAGTGACCTTCCCACTAAGAGAGATCTTTCATCCCTTCCACTATGTAAACTTAGAGCCAAAAAACAGCTGTCTAGTAAGTGGGTTCTCACCACAGAATCAGACTACACCTTCACCTTAGATTTCCCAGCCTCCAGAACTGTGAGAAATAAATTTCTGTCTGTTAAGCTACCCAGTTTATGGTATTTAGTTATAGCAGCCCAAGCTTATTAAGACAAATGGTTTGCTGAGACATGTGCAGGGTCGAAGGAACAAAAAAGGATGTGGAGACATCCAGGAACCAGCAGTGTAGGAAGTTGTTAATTGGGTCTTAGACCTAAAGGGGCAAGAGGAGACAGTACAGCTTCTGGAGCCTAGGAAGAGCTGGTGCCATAGAAAGGGGCCACACAATGGGAGTTGTGGTTGTGGAGGACACAGCCATACCAGAAGCAAAGTGCAGGAGAGGGGCACGGGAAGAGGTACTTACTGTGTCTGTCTTTCCGTTTTCCAACCTCTCATTGCCTGTAGCCAACGGGTGGCCACCTGGCAAGAAAGCCTGGGCGATGTGGTCTACAGGGGTCAGGACAGGGACCAAAAGAAGAGGATGGAGAACAAAGAGTGAATGGCAAACGGGGAAATAAAAGTAGTGTATTCACTCCACACATTTTTTTTTTTTTTAACTCATTGCTATGTTCCAGACATTGGACTAAGTGTTCTTGATTTGCTGAACTTAGTTTGAGGTTTGTGAATAGATGAGTTGGGCACAGCTTTAGAGGAAATCTCTGTTTTCCTGAATATTATTTCTATTTACAGTATTTCAATAGGGACAGCGCTTCGTGGATTAGACTTTCAATGAGCTTTGCTACCTTTTGCTTGTGCTTGCTCTCCTACATAATGGCACACTTTGAAAAGCCATAAGTATAGAACAGGCACGACTTTGTATAATTAAGCTCAGGAGTAAAATCTTGGAATTTTACATAAGGGATGTTTCTTGGCTCTTTGTTGGCTTTTAAGAAAAAGGACAAATAAGGACACAGAACACAGGAGATAGGAGGCAGGAACCAAAGCAAATAACTTAATGAGCTATTCAAGAGGGAATTCACAAACTGCTTCCTAAGCCTTGATGAGAAATATGGAGGCATGTTGGTGAGGAGCTCGTATTATTATTACTGGGAACATGTTGTATGGAGAAAGGCAATGGATTCTCAAAAAAGAAACATTCTGATAAAAATCAGAAATTACAGAACATGTTGCTTCATTCAGAGCTATACAATCCAAACCATGGAGTACTGAATCGGCTGTATTCTGCCCTCTGGCAATTTTGGAAAACATTTCATTGCTTTTTAAGCACTATCCCCTTCCCTCCCTTCAGAGAGGCCAAGCAGAAGACTTTGGATAGTATATCTTATATCACACAGTTGATTAATTTCTTTGCTACTTTATAGAAACTAGTATTTCTAATGAATGTATAAGGTTTGAAATTTAGAATATCCACCTTCTGATTCAGGTTCCGTCACTGTGTAAACTTGGACATGACACTTCATTTCCCAGGGCCTCAAGTTCCTCATCTGGAGAGATCAGCTGGAAAACACAGGGTTTACCTAAGCTTTATGAAGTGATTGAATGCATGAATTGTAAAGAAAATTGTATCAGTACGTATCTATGTGTACATGGTCCCACTTGCGAATAGGGGATCAATACCATTCATCAGATTCCCCAAGAACTTTGTGTTCCCTAAAAACAATTATATAAATCTGAACCAAAAATATTAAGCAGACCCCATTTAATTTTAATTTTTAATTTTTTGAGAGGGAGAAGGTGCACACACGCACAAGTTGGGGAGAGGGGCAGAGGGAGAGAGAGAGAGAAAAAGAGAGAGAGAGGGAGAGAGAGAGAAGAGAATCTCAAGCAGGCTCGATGCTTAGCACAGCTCAGAGCCTGACGGGGTAGGGGGGCTCGATCTCACAACCCTGGGATCATGACCTGAGACGAAATCAAGAATCAGACACTCAACTGACTGAGCCACCCAAGCACTCCAGGAAGACCCTATTTTAAACTAAGAAATTCTACAACTTCATAAAAAATCTTTGGTTTACATAGCAATTTCAGAGCTGTCTCAAGTCCTTTTCTTGAGCTTCAATTTATAGCGGTTTTGCCAATTCTAGCTTTAAGCTTCTATTCTCTTCCCAGTTTTAATGATCTATAACCAAATAAATCAGATTTTTAACAAGGAGATAAGCCATCAAATATATTAGAAATATTCACGTTTAGAAGATCATTTTTAATATTAGAAACATTCACATTTAAAAGATCATTTTTACAATATAAGTAAATATGCCCTATTTTATCTGTTTTAAAAATCATCATTTTAATATTTGGTTTCTCATAACATGCAAGGAACTGTAGCTTGAGATATTTAATAGAATTTTGGAGTAAGAAGTTCTTGCAGCAGCACTGTCTGAAAGAACTTTTTGAGATAATGGAATGTTCTATAAATTTGTACTGTCTGATACAATGGCTGCTAGTCATATCTGGCCACTGAGAACTTGCAGTGTGGCTAGTGTGAATGAGGAATTAAATGTTTGATTTAATTTAATTTAATTTAATTTAATTTAAATTGTCACACATGGCAAGTGACTACCACATTTGATAACATAATCTTAGAGAATGCCCCATGTAATACATATCAGGAGCTAAAAACCTCACGGCACTTCCTGTGATGCAGAATTTCTCAACAGAAACACTGTTGAATAGGGCCAGATAATTCGTTGTTTGCAGGGAGGGAGGTTGCCCTGTGCACTGGAGTGTATTCAGAAACATCCCTGGCCTCTCCCCACTAGATGCTGTTATTACTGGATCCCCAGACGTGACAATGTCTGCAAACATTGCCAGTTGTCCTCTGGAGGTTATAGTCGTCCCAGGCTGAGCACTACTGCCTTTAAGTAAGTTTTCCTTGAGCTTTGTCTTGAAAGTACTCAAGGACGAGGCACCTTACCAGATGGACCAATTCTGTATTGGATTCTTGAAATTAGGACATTATTCCACATAAGTGGATGCCCATAAAGTCTCTTCTCTGGACTTAGTTCTTGTTGGCAATTCTAGTAAACTCTTTGTTGAGGAAGAAGGAGGAAATAAACAAGCTAGTTGAAATGTGTATTAACAGGAAGCTCAACACATAGTGGTTAAGAGTGTGAGCTCTAGAACTAGAGACAGGGGTTCAATTTCTGGTTTTGTCAGGAGCTAGCTGTGAGTCACTTGTAAGGTAATTCAGTTCTCTGTTTCTTAGATTTGTCACTTGTAAAATAGGAACGATAATAGTAATGAGAGTTGTTTTAGAATTACATGAGAATGTGAATAATATGCTTGGTTATTATTATTTTAAGTAATAATGACAAGAATATTCTACTATCGTGTTGTGTTACTTGTTATAATATTTTACCACATGTGATCCTCCCAATGATTTTATAGATAATGGTGTTCCATCTGATAAATGAAAAATGTGGAGGCTCTCATAATTTCAGTGGTGTGCCCAAGTACATGCTTGGTGAGTTGAGAAAGCTAGATTCAAACCCAGTTCATTCAGTTCCAATGTTAGTGTTCTTTCTGCCATACACAAAGAATTCTGCCTGATCTCACCATCTTATGTTCTGTGTCTGTGAGGGATCAGTCTATGTGTACCAGGTATGGAGAGTTTTACATAGTCATCAGGGATTTATTTATGTAACCTTTGGAAGGGCCAAGGTGTGAAAGAGAAGCAACCCTCCATGATCTCAGCATGAAACACCAAAGCCAGAAATTCTCAAGAACTGGTGGAAAGCTGTTGTGAAGCTGCATCTGACCATGCATCTAGACACAATCACCTCTGCAGGATAAGGCCTCTGCTTCTCTTCTGCTTCCAGATATCTCTCACTGATGCTTTTACCTGGATCCTGCAGAGAATGGCATTCTGGGAAATGTAGTTCCTGCTTTGCTTCTGTGATGCAGAGGAGATGTAGATGGGGATGGTAGTGATTCTGAGCTGGCAACCAAGAATCCAGCACCTAGCTAAGGCATTCACATAGTCACCAGTGGATTATATGACCCAGGGTGATATGTGGGAAAGGTCATGGAACCAAATGCTCCCTTTAGCACCAATAATTATCAGTGAGTAAGTCATTTCACCTCTCAGGCTCTTTGCCTATCAGAATTAAGTAAAATAACACACAGTGAATGATTCTCACAGAATCTGGAACACAGCGAATGCTCAGTTAGTGTTGGTTGTTGCTCTGCACAGCTATAGACAGACAGGTATATTCTGAAGGCTATTTTCCCTGAGTGTTCTAAATGGTTCAAGGGAGATGATTTGGGGGCAGAGGTTACTAGTTGCCCCAATATCCACTCTTCCTTTCTTCCACAGTGATAGCCTGATGAAGATCATATTTCTGGCCTCTTTTGAAGCTCACATTCTCACCTGCATCTGTGGGGGGAGGTGCTGGTGTACCTTCCAAGTCTGGACTTTGAAGGGAACTGGGCTCGTGTTCCTCGTCCTCTCCCTCTTTTGGCTGACTGGGATGCCGCCATGTTGGTGACAGCCAACTGTGGGCTAGCAGCCACGGATTGAAGGCAGCAGAACAACAAGCCAGAAGGAACTGGGCTCCTTGTCCCTCTGGGACTGCGTGTCAGCCAAGACAGCTTGGGCTCAGACTACTATGTGAGTGAGAAATACACTTCTGTCTTGTTGCCACCACTGAGGCTTCTTTGCTGTAGCAGCTTGGCCTGTCTTCTAACTATACACCATTGGATGCAGACACTCCTACATAATTCCTCAATTATTACATGAAGGCAGTTTTCTGTAGGGGTGTGAATGCTCACTTGAGACAGATTTCAAGCCAGAATGGCCAATATCTCACTTACCCAGCTAATTTTATTTGAAAGACAGGTCCTGAAAATGGTGGGTGAACAACAAAAGTGCAAAAAATCCAGGAGAGGCAGAGAAGCGTCTGGAACCAACGCTGAGGGAGCTCAGATACCTAGCAGGGGAAGCAGGCAGTCCTTTAAAACTACAAGGTGTACTGTCCAAGATTACAGTACAAGAGGGCTGCTAATAAATGCTTTCAGTGAAGAATTCAGGGACATTTCTTGGCTTTCACGAATAGTGCTAGTATTAAAAACAAACAAACCTGACGAATAGAGCAATGCTTCCCTCACTGAATGACTGGGTGATCATCTGTGCTTAGCAGAGCAGCAAGCATGCTTCCAATAATCATAATTTAAAGATTCCAAGTGATGAAAGCATCACATTGAAATATCTGTTGTCTGCATGCTGCCCTGGCTACACAGACACAAAGAAGTGAAAGGTATTGCTGCAGTCACTGGGATCTCGGCTGGCACGATTATCGTGGCATTTACTACGTCGTAACCTCACCCGTTGTATAGATGTCCTTTCTCTAGACTGTGAGCCCTCTATGAATTATTTGCCTTTGTACCTTCTGCTCCTATAATGGTCAATAAATATTTAAATGGATGAATCTGTTCAACCTCTTTACTTTTCTGTGACTTGTTCAAAGTCAAAATTAATAATAGAAAAAATCTGTTTTTTTTCTTCTATGTGAAGAGTTCTATTTTTTCCAGGGGAAGAATGGCTAAATCTCTTATTAGGCATCCACTAACCCAGATGCACACACGCACACAAACACCAAGGCATATAAGCAAACACAAAACACACGTAAACACGGAGTCCCACACAGCACACACAAATTCACACACAAAAACATGGGTTCTACATTTGAATTTCAGGCAAATGATGAGCAATATTTTAGGATAAATGAGTTTTAAATATTGCATACACAAACACACATATGGGGCGTACCTACCTGAAAACAATTATTTGCCATTTACTTGAAATTCAAATTTTACTGTGTGCCCTGTATTTTTATTTGCTAAGTCTGGCAACTCTACCATGAACATACACATGGATATAGGTGCAGAAACACAGACAGAAACACATAAGCAAGTACACACACAGACACATACACCCCTAAGATTTAGTTCCTCCTAATAGATCTTGCCACTGCCAGACCGGTCATCAGATGACCTATCCCAGATTTCCTTAGACAATTGGGACATGTCAGTGTCTTGGGAGGGAAGCAGAAGGCTGATTCTCCACTCATAGTAGTTCTGCATGGAGGAGGGAAAGGGGAGCCTTATTCTTCAGTTATATGACCAGTTGTTTTAGAAAGGGCATACTTCCCTCCAAATATTCTCTCTCTCTCTCTCTCTCTCTTTCTCTCACATGAATATCCACCCTCCCCCCGCCCACTCCTCATAATCAAGCACCACTTTGGCCATAATTAGGAATTCCTTCTACATGATTTTGTAAAGAGAGTCAAGCTCCAGAGAGAAGATTGTTCCCCCCCAGAAATCTATGACACTGAGTTTACAAATGTTTGGCGATGAATGATAGGGTGGGTTCGTGTGAAATTCCACATCTGTTTAGGGTGTCACTGTGTACCTTTAACTTAGAGATCCTCTGGGTAATTCTTTTTTTTTATTTTTTTAATTTTTTTTCTTAAAAAAATTTTTTTTAACGTTTATTTATTTTTGAGACAGTGAGAGACAAAGCATGAACAGGGGAGGGTCAGAGAGAGGGAGACACAGAATCTGGAACAGGCTCCAGGCTCTGAGCCATCAGCACAGAGCCCGACGCGGGGCTCGAACTCATGGACCGTGAGATCGTGACCTGAGCCGAAGTCGGCCGCTTAACCGACTGAGCCACCCAGGCGCCCCCTCTGGGTAATTCTTGACACCACTTACCTTATCACCATCTGCCCCATAACCCTTCAGAATTAGTGTCTTAATGTCTATTGAGTCCATCTCAGCAATCTTAGATATGCTTTTTACCCTCCATTCTCATGGCTACTGGCCATTCTTTGTCTCTTACCATCTCTCACCTGGATGTTGACCTCAGCCCCTACTGCATCACCCCAACCTGTCAACTAATTCATCTTCTGCAAAGATACCGGACTAGAACTCTCAGTGTGCAAGTTTGATCATAATCCTCCCTTCCTTGGAATCTTTTGATGGCACTCCATTTTCTCCACCATGAAACCTGACCTTTCAGTATGTCCTGAAAGGCCCTTCTCTCTCAGAACCCATTCCAACCTAGTTTCCACTTTCACCTCAGATATTCAGCCTGATCCCACCAAAATGAATGATTTTTCCCACAGATGGTCACTTCCATTGTTCAGCCTTTCTCCCATCATCATTCTCTGTGCGTGAAGCATTCCTCACCTCCTTCCTTGCCTACTGAATTAATTATCCTTTAGATCACATTACATATCCTCTCCAACCCCATCCCACAAGGCCTTCCATTCCTGTAGTCAATTACTCCCTCCTCTGTGTACCCACGGTCTTTGACATATACTTCTCATTTACCATTATAATTATTTATTAATATTTACAAGCCACTCTCCCCTCATCCCCAAGCTTGTGAGCTTTTCTGGGGTAGAGGTTAACTCTTATTCATATATGAACCACCAGTATTTAGGATAGTGTCTGCCACAGAAAAGGGTCTTAGGAAATGATGTTGTTGGTAGAATGTTACTGGGCAGCAGTGTGGGTTGAGGTTACTAGCAGAGGCTTTGGAATCAAGAGACCAACATTTGACTCAAGAAAATACCATTTATCAGTTCCATGACCTGTAGCAAGTTATGTGATATCTCTGTGGTAGGCAGAATAATGTCCCCCATCTGCCCCCTGAAAAGAGGTTCATGTCCTCAGCCTCAGAACCTGTGAAAATGTTACATGGCAGAGGGAAAATAAGATTGCTAATCAGCTGACCTTAAAAAGGGGCGGGGTATTCTGGATTATCCAGGTAGCCCCACCGTAATCACAAGCGGCCTTAAAAGTAAGAAACTGAGGCAGAGAGAGATCAGAGTGATGCACTGTGAGAGGGCTCAGCCCACCATTGCTGGCTTGGAAAATGGATGAGGGTCAGGAACCAAGGAACATGGGCACCCTCTAGAACACTAGAAAAGAGAAGGAAACATATTCTCCCCTGGAGCTTCCAGGAGGGCATGCAGCTCTGCCAACACCTTGGTTTTAGCCCAGTGTGTCCCATTTCAGACTTCTGACCTCCAGAACTGTAAGGTAATGACTTCATGTTGTTTTTAAGTCACTAAGTTTGAAGTAATTGTTACAGCAGCACTAGGAAACTCATACAAGCTCTAAGCCTGTTCCTTCTTCAGAAAATGAAGAGAATGATAATTCCAGTCACACAGGGTAGTGGAGAGAACCAAATAAGCTAATTATGTAATGCACGGCATAGTGCTTTGCATGGAAAGGGTGCTGAAGAAAGGCAGTAGTCAAAGTAATAGCTATAGTATTAGTACTCCCACCAATACTATTGTCATTTAAAGCAGGAAGGGGGTAAATTGGGACTTAAAAGAAATACCCAGGAAGCAGCATTCTGATTGAGTTATTCATGAGATGGTAATGAGAAGGGACTGAATCTGCTGTCCTGGAGATGCCCCAGGACCCTCTGCAATGACAACAAAAGGAAATCACCACCACTCCCCTTCCCATTTGAAATTCTATAATAGTTATGGCTGTGCATTTGTAGGATGTCATTGGCTACACAGCTCTTTATATCAGCCTGTAGCTGGTCAGGTAGAGAGTCACTCTATTTCTCAATGATTTTTCTTGCATGGAGAAATTTCTTACCTTTGCCTTTTGAGAAAGCTCAGGATCTCACATATAATGTTTCAGGGCTGTCATAAAGGTAGAAGAGCTTGCAGCTTACATTCATTCGAGGATCAGATACTGTGGAAGTTGAATACAAATGAGCATTATTGTTGGTGTTGTTATTTATTATTATTATTATTATTATTATTATTATTCAGTAGGGAAAGAAATGTCTGTACAGGGAAATAAGCCAGATTACATTAGCCAGGTTATTCATTATGTATTTGATATGAACTTAGTGTGTTTAATATGTGTTTAATATTGTGTTTAATATGACTTTCAAGATTAGAGGTCTGTGTCAAAGTCAACGCCATAAGACAACAAAGACTAAACATACAACTCTTTAAGAATCTATTCTAATTAGTTTGCACAAACACTTAGGTGACTTGTTTTTTTAATTGTGTCTCCTGGCTCTAACTGGATGGAACTGGATAAATGCATGATGTGTCAAACCTCAGGCAAAATTTCACTGATGGGCAGAGATGTTTATATTCAGGAGAAACCCTTAGCTAAATTGTTAGCAGACTAGTTAGCATCCACTCTCACCAGTACTTTGGTCTTCAACATAGAAAGCTTTGTTAATATAAATTTTCTGCCTTTTCCCATCTCACTCCCCAGTCTCATTTGGAGGGGCTATGGAGCAACAGAGTGGCCACAGGAAGCAAGGAAATGAGGCAGTGAGGGAAGGAACAGGGTAAAGAAAATGGGGCAATTGTTGAGCCCCCAATCTATATCAGGCTCCTACTTTGCAGATGTTAAACCCATTGAAACTTCCTATGGTCCTGCAAGGTAGCTCCCTTGTCACATACGGGATCCTGCCAAACTGTAAGCTTCATGACTATATCATCACTGTAACTCCAGGGATTAGTATGTACATTAATGTCTCAGTTGAATGACTTGTCAGAGGTTGTACAGACAGTGGTGGAGCCAACTTTTAGACCCACATCACATTTTGTCTGCACATCAACCCACAGTGACCACATCCTGGACACCTGAGTTTCCCAGCCAAGACTTTAAACAGGGCAGTCATGGCACCTATCTTGCAGTGTGAAGAGTTATGGCATGAGGTGCTCCTTCTGACCTGCCACGTCTTCACTCACAGTCTGGGTCTGTGTGTGTTTGCACGTCGCGAGGCTGGCTGATCCTGGGAGAGAATGGAGATATATGGGAGGTGGAATCATGAGCCCCACGCCTGCCTACCTGCCTCCTTCAATCGAACACACACATCTGTACTATAGTGTGCAGTTCTGTTGCTGTAAGAGTATGGACATCTCAGGACAATATTACCCAAATTGCTTTAATCCTTCTGCTAAGAAGAAAAAAAAAATAAAGCTGGTTTTTCCTCCCTCCAAGCAGTCCCATGGACTCTATGTTAGTCTAGTTCCTTTGAATAAAAGTTTACCCTGACACAGGAGTCAGTGTTGATGGGCTCTATAGGGTGGCTAGTTCAAAGACGATGGAGTGTCAACCCTCAGGCAAAATTTCTCCTGGGGTGGAATTAGAGGGCTGAAGGATGACATCACATGGTAATGCTATTAGATTTGAAACGCTAACGGAGGCACTATCTTTGCTTTTGCTTTTTCTCTAATAGAAACATTAAACAGCAAACAAGTGTCATTTCTAGACACAGAGCTAGTGCTCAAAGAAATTTTTCAAACATTACCCAGTCTTTCTGGGTAGGAATATAGAGCTTGGAAAAACTGCCACAGTTTATTAATTCCATTTGTTTTCAAAGAATAGGATGATTTTTCATACGGCAATGTTAAAGAGCCCTAGCCCATAAAAAGTGATTTTCCAAGGGTTTTCCTATACATATCCCAATTGTGATCATTTGTTTTACATGTCTTTTAGTTTTCCTCTATTTCTGGACTAACACAAGAAAGTGTTATATGAATGTTATTTATTTTTTTGAGAGAGACAGAGAGAGAGAGCATGAGCAGGGGAGGAGAGAGAGAGAGAGAGACAGAGACAGAGACAGAGACAGAGAGAGATGGAGGGTCTGAAGCAGGGTCTGCACTGACAGCAGAGAGCCAGATGTGGGGCTCAAACTTATGAACCGCAAGATCATGACCTGACCGAAGTCGAAAGCTTAACCGACTGAGCCACCCAGGCACCCTAAAAAAAGTGTTATTTGACATGGAGAGGTGCATATGTCCACTGCAATTGTACTCTTTTCCATTAAAAATAAGCTTCTTTGTTTTATTTAATCCTTTGCCTTAGATTCTATATTGTCAGATACTATTGCCGCCCCAACTTCATTGTATTTACTTGGTGGATCTCTGCCTCCTTTCATTTAAAAATTTCAGATTATTTGCTTTAGTTGTATCTCGTTGTTGTTATTGTTGTTTTAAATTCCTGTTCAATGTGAAGCCTTTGTCTCATCATAGGGAAAGTAACTGATTTACATTCATTGTTTGATCTCTTTCTTGTCATCTCTAAGAATTTAATGTTTTTATGTTTCTACAGTAATATGTACTTTTTCACACTTAATGATGTATATTTTTGTTCTCTCTCCTTTGTTTTCTTGGTTGGCCTGCTCAGAATTAAATCCATTTTATCTATCAGTTCTGTTTCAAATTTATGAATTTCAGTTTATATGTTTATTAGTCCTTTTTTAGGGTCAGTATTTGGTAAAAGCATAGCCAAGTATTCTTCCTCTTTTTGAAATGTCTTTGAGATAGCTTTGGCCATACCCCATTAAAATGAATCCATTCTAGTCATTACAATGACTTTCTAAATCATCCTTAATTGCAGTTTTGATTTCTTCTTCGGCTCCAGTGTTATTTAGCTGGGTTTTTTTTTCACTTTCCAAGTAGAAGTTTTCAAAACCAGTTGCCATTAACTTTCAATTTTATTGCACCGTGATAAAAAATCCGTTCATATAATGTCTTTTTTGGAATTATTGAGATTTGCTCTGTGGCTCAAGATACCAATTTTTATAAATGTACTATCAATGGTTGTAATTAGTGTAATTCATGATAGATAAAAATAGAGATACAAGCTTATTAATTATATTGATTTTGTAAACTTTATAGTTTTCTCTACTACTCTCCAGATTCTTGGACATCCATAGTGAAATTTCCTATTTGTCAAATTTTCTGTCAATTTCTCCTAATATATTTTTAAAATATTTTATTTTTTGTTTGTAATACTTATATATAATATATTCATATTCATTTTAGCAATTAATTTCTTTCTGAATTTGTCATTTTATTTTGTACTTTTAAACATATTTTCCTCCTCTTTTGCTTTTTTTCTTTTCCTATTTTTCTCTTTCATAGGACAAATTTTCCTAATTTTTTCCTTATTTCTTTAGAAATTAAAATTTGTCATTTTGGCATGCCATTGATAGTCTTTAAATTGAAAAAGTGTATATTTCTCAATTAATACCAAGGATGAAATAATGCATTTTTGATATTTGTATAAACATAACAGATTACAGTACCCTTCTCTTTCCTTCCTCCCTTTTTGCCTAGCATCTCTCCTTAGGTTTTGTCAGTAGACAGTGGGCTTTCCATCCAGATTAATAAGAATTGTCATGATTTTTTATGTTATTGATGAGGGAGTAGGGGGCAAGCTGAAGGCAAAATACAGATGAACAGCATTCCCCTCCCCATAAGGTGGAATATGTGTGATATTCCTCGGACACTCCTGGCTACTCAATAACAAAGGAAAGGGGTTTAAGCGCTTGCAATGGTAATGTGGGAAACTAAGGCAAATGAAAAGTTGCATTCCCTTACTGCCTACAGTCCATTGACAAGTCCTTGAAACTGGCAGAGCGGCCTCCCCCTAGGATCTCAGCTACCTGGATTGATGACATTTTACTAGGGGCAAAAGAGAATCTTAGCTTAACGTTATCCCAACCTCGAGGATCCCGTGAGTCTACTTCCTTTATCTTAACTCTCCCAAGACAGATGCTGGCAATCATACTCCAAGCTTATGGCTTCCTGATATACATCTGAAGTGTCTCATGACTGAGGTTTTATTAAACGGTAATAAATGGTGTTTCCCTAGCAACAGCTAGCCCCTCAATGTCCTGGAAACCTTGTTTCCAAAATTCCTTAGAGACTCACTCTACCCCTGACCCCCTCCCAACCTGAGGGTATATAATGTGTTACCTATCACAACCCCATGCAGCTCTTCCTGCCCCATGGGTCCTATCCCTGTGCTTTAATAAAATCACCTTTTTGCACCAAAGACATGTTCAAGAATTCTTTCTTGGCCATTGGCTCTGAACCACCCCTCCATCACCCCAAAACCTCATCATTATGAACATTAAAGAATTACTCTTGACATTTGCATTGTCGTATTCCAAGTTAATATCAATTATTGAGACGAGTTCAAAATTTTACTTATTTTATTGCTCATCTCCATTAATTTCCTAGCCAACTTCCAGATTCAAGGTTTTGGTCTGGAACATTTGTGCATCAATACTTCTTCAACTAATTTTTATTAAGGAAAATATGTGGATGCTATGCTTCTTAGTTCTTACATGTATGAGACTCTCTTCTGATGGCTCTTGCACACGTTAAATATCACTTCATTAGATGTGAAACCCTTAGGTCACATATTTCCCTCTCAAATGCTGTGGTTACTCTCTATTGACTTTCAGCATGTGGTATTTTTAACAAGTCTGGTGCCAACTGAGCTATTTTTATATTTAGGAGACAACCTGTTTTTAATCCTTGAATTCCTGTAAGATGTTTCTCTTTGTCATTTGAGTTTAAACCTTCTACCACATAGATGTGCATTCCTTTTCAGACATTTTGCCTAGAGACTCTTTTATATTTCTTTTCAGATATTTGTACTTAGAGACCCTTTTGCTCTGAAGCCTCCAGGCTTTTCAAATCAAGGCATTTTTCTTCTATTATTTGTTTAATGATTGCTTCTGCTCCTTTGCTCTGCCTTGCTTCCGGAATCTCTCTTTCAGATGAAACACACGTACATACACTCACATAATCCTCTGGGTCTACTTTTCATGTCTTTTATATTTCTGCACATTGCACATTAGCTGTTTTTTTTTTTTTTTTTTTTTTTTTTTTTTTTTTTGGCCCGGCTTTTGGGAGTCTTAATCTCATCTTCTTATGCACTCACATGTGTCTAGAGTTTCCCCATCTGCTGAAGGCAGCTTCTATTGCATGTTTAAAAAGAACAAACTATTGACTTACTTTTAGTAATACAAATAACAAGTTAATTCATCTTATTAAGGTTAAAATGATTCAAGTAAAACGAAAAACTGCCCTTCACATCTTCCCAACTCACTTCCCTTCCCCAAATTAAAAAGATGTATATGCATGTGTGTGTATGTTTCTATATCTTTTTCTGTATATTTACATCTATATAGAAATGTATGCTTTTGGGTTTTCTTATCATTATTTGCAAAGAATCTTCCTATTCATGCGGTTTTGCAATTTGTGTTTTTCATTCAACAACAAGTAGTGGAGGTCATTGCATGCCGGCTTGGGTCAGGTTTCCTGGGAAACAGAAGCCTAGGGTGAGAGCTGCGTGTAGGGGGTTGATTGGCTACTGCTCTTAGGAATAACACCTGTGAGAGAGGAGAGGGACGAGATTGAACAGAGGGCGAAGGTAAACTGCAATGCAGCCACAGCAAAGCTCTCAGTCATCTCTTGGGGGGCTTGAAAGCTTCTCAAACTCGTCTCAAATTGGGGTAAGGGGGCCATTGGCACCAGAAATTGGATGTGAACTACCCCTAAAGGCAGATCCCTTGACCAATACCTACAGGTCTAATATTACAAAAGTTATGTGTGGTAACTTTTGAAGTAGATAATCCAAAAAAGAATAATCTGTTCCAGAGGCTGCTCATTGTAAATCAAATGATGAACACATCGATTTTGACTGAAATGTTAGTGATATAATAAAAAAAAAATTTAACATGAACATTTTCAAATACACCAAAAGGTAAAGAACAATACAACAAACCCTCATATTACCAGCACCGAGATTCAACAATTATCAAGATACTGCAATATTTTCTTTACTTTTTTTTTCTTTTTTTGAAGTATTTAAAAAAGAATCCCATCAAATATATACCATGGTGACTATAATTAACAATATTGTATTATATACTTGAAAATTAAGGGAATAGATTTTAAAAGCTATCACCATGAAAAATGATAATTATGTGAAGGGATGAAGATGTTAATTAACTTTATTGTAGTAATCATTTCACAAGACATTCACATGTCAGATCATCACGTTCCAGACTATTCCTTAATTTTTTTGATCTTTATCATGGAAATTAGGGAAGCAAGGGAGTTAAATATGGGATTTCTCATAGACCTCATCAAACCTACCAGTTCAAACAAAAAAACCATTTTTTTAATTTACACAATGCAATGTGCAATGGATGAGTGAGCCATTACTTTTGCTTAAAAGTCATACATACAACGCTCTGGTTAGAATATGTGTCAAAAGAGTATAAATACCTCCTGTGTACTCTAAGTTCCATTACTAACTTAGCTATTGAAGCTTTTATTTTAAAATATTGGCTTATTCACCTTTCTCCCCATGTATGGGGTTCCCAGGGCTATTTCACAGCTTTTTGTTTCCTACAGCAAAATGTACTCTTACTATGAAACAGAGGTGTTCATTATCTCCTTTACTTCTTTTTATTCCTCATGTTGCTCCAAAGTTGTCAAATCGTTTACTTTTTCCTAAGAAAGGAGCACCACCTGAAACTAGAAGGCTCAACTCTCTGGCGACGGTTTGTCTTTTCCTCTGTTGCCTTTAAAAAGCCTTTAATATGGTAATGTACAATGTCTGTCTCCCACTGCACCAGTTAATTTGGTTTCCTAACTCCTATCCAACCATCACTGTGCCAGGGAAATACTTTGTTCTGGGTCTTGCTCTCTAGGGGATTAACCCAAACAATTTAATTTCAACCCAGTGACATCTTTACCTTTTCAGAAAGTCCTGCCATAATATTACTGCATGATATAAATATGATTGGCGGCGTCACAAATCGGGGAGTCATGTGACCTACCCACTCTGTTCTCATACAAAGGCCAAGATTACACAAACCCCTAAAAGGCAGACATCCCCAAGGGAAACTTAAAAAGGAAAAAAAAATCATTAGAGAATGTGAGCATGAGAAGTGGAAATAACAGGGACTAAGGAGTTTGACTTCTTTAAATTTCAGCCTTGCTGAATCTCAGATTCCTCTTCTACAGAGTAGGGATATCAACAATATTGCCCAGGACAGGTCAGAGAAGAGCCTCAACTAAGTATCTCCCCCAATACCCACCCCTCAGTAGTTCTTAATTTTTTTCATGTGCAAGTAATTTATTGGAATCTGTTTTACCACTTTCCATTGTGAAGTTACTAATTAAAAAAAAAACTATTTTGTGGGTACTTAATATGTGCCAGGTTCTGCTTTAAGCCCTTTACCTTTACTAGTCATGGCACGCCTACAGAATCGGTGCTGTTAGTATCCCTGTGGAAATAAACAAAGGCCACCCAAATGAGAACAAACAGAAGCTGTTCAAGGCTTGCTGTAGGAGAGGAGTCAGTCACCATCACTTGCACTAGGTAGATTCAGAGGCAGTCAGAGGGGTGGGAAAGCTTTAAAGACGGGCAGTCTTCAGGTAGGCTCTGACTGGAGGCTGTTGGCCAGGAAGCAAGAGGTGGGCTAATTTGACGTCGCGCATCTTATGTGATTTGTTTGGGGAGTAGACTTGGCTTTCTCTGGTTGGTTCTGAATTGGAAGGAAGGGTAAAAAACTAGAGAAGCTGGCAGTCATTGGCCACACGCTCCAGACCTTGTGGTTTGGCTTCCTGGACTGGTTGCTACAGATGCAGAAGACCAGAGTTCTACTGTCACACATGGTCTGACCATCGTCCGTCTGTATATTCGGTCTCTCATCCCCACCTTACAGTTGAGGACACTGAGGCACCGAGAGCTTAAGTGACTCGCTCAAGGCATTGCAGCCAGTACGGGCAGAGTTGGGATTTGGACCAGGCAGGTGGGCTCAGAGTCAGAGTCAGAGTCAGAGCTCAGCTCACCAGGCTCCACCCCAGCTTCTGCCTGTCAGCCCCGGGCTTCCCCCAGCTCCTCCCCTTGCCGCCATGTTGCCCAGAGAAGCTTGCGTCACTCTCCTTGCCTCCCTTTCCTCAGCTAGAAGATAATTAGAAAAAATAAAAGCCAACCCTTTCACGGGATTTTTATGAGAATTCAAGGAGCTATCTGCCGTGAAGTCGTGGCACACGGTAGATGCTCTGAATGTGTATCTTACTTTTGAGAAAACAAGAATGCACTTTGTAAATACAGGCTGGTTTCTAAGTCCAGTTTATAATTATCTGTATCTTCAAATCTTTTTGTTTTTGACAAGGAGGTTGGGGAAGTTTATTTGAAACGTATTTTAGGCAGCTTTTCTCTGGAAAGAATAAGGTGTTATGGCTATACATGCCCACTACTACTTGTAATAAAATACAATATCTAAAAACTTCCTCATCACTTCTTCAAATCCTTTGCATTGAAACTGTCCCAACTTGAAGCATTTCGGCTGTTTTCCTTCCTCTGGCAGCCCCACGGCAACATCTGCTTTCTATTTACAGAGCCGAACCCGCAGCCCCGAGCCAGTCTGATTAATTAGAAATCACCACGGCAGGGTACATCCCTTCCTGCCCTCCCCAAACACAACAGTGAATCTTTTTTAATCCTCTCAATAACCAGTTCATATCCCCCAAGTTAAAGCACTTGACCTTTATAGTCATCTTATTCCAGGCTGAATCAGAGGCCAGCGACTGGCCTGATCACATTCCTGGTTAGGCTGCCTGAGTTACTTTGGGGAATGAATGGTCCAAACCAGACTCCTGAGAACCTCAGGCAAGTGGGAGAATTGATATCCAGGAATATGGGATTCTCCAAGAGTTAGTACTAAGCTCATAGGGACAGAAAATACAGGGGAATGAAGGTTGAATGAGATCCAGAAAGTTATTTAGAGCGGACATCTCCTTACAGCTCTGCACACACATCCTGTGTAACCTACGAATAAGTCACAACCTTAGTACAGCATTCACCCTCCTTGGTCACCAAGGGGTTTACATGGAATTACAGATACAAGTGCCGTGATAAACTCCACCCACTCCAAGAAGGGCATGATATTTTTCCAAGGAAGTCATCTTACCAAATTGTACAGAGATTCCACAGCTGTAATTCACTGGTGCAGACCATAGTCTGAGGCATAGATTGGCTCATGTTATCGTTAGAAGACTTTGATTTTTCTAGAAAAGAAAAATGAGAAGCTGGTTTTTTAACCTGCGTCGTTTAACCCCCAGCCACTTTCCGTAATGCCTCATCTCTAGAAGGAACCTGGAACACATGGAGGAAGAAGACTGGAAGCAAGATAAGATGAGGGGACTCTGAGTTTGTGCCTGTGTGCTTGACATTATACACCTTTTGACATTTTGTCACTTAACACAAGAACTTGATGGGTTCAACATCACAAACAAGAAAACTGATGTTGATACAGGTTATGTGAAATGCCTAAGGTTACACAGATGGTAAATTTCAGCTGAAACTCACAATGACTTCCTCAAGCCCATGAGCTATATGATACACTGTCTCAGAGGGAAACATCTGACCGATTTGCTTAAGCATAGAGAATGTAAAATTAGCAACATTTTTTTTTTTTTAATTTCTGTGCTCCCAGTCTCTTCCATACCTTTTCTCTAATCCTCACCGCAACCCTATAGGAAAAGTGGTTTCAATTAAGAACTGCTGCTGAGAGGGACTGGCTTTCCCCGTGTTACACAATTAAGTGGGAGAGATGGGATTTGAAGCCAGGTCTGTCTGCTTCCAAAGGAACTGCATCTTTTCACTACATCACATGAAACGAGACAGACTGAAAAGGGATACTCACTCAGCTCTAAGCCAAAGAATGTCCTTTGAAAACATTTCTCAGTGCTCGAACTCTTGGCCATAGCAGCTCTGGGTCACAAGGAGAGGGGCTGGCCGGGCAGAGGGGCTGACAGAAAGTCTCTGGTCTGTAAAATCTCATTTGGCCTTTCTTTGTACTACCTTGTTCCCTTTCTGCTCTGCCATTCTCTCTCACTATCAACTTTGCACGTACCATTGTCCCCGTGAGCCCATGAGCTCGTGAGCCCAGGAGTTTTCTTTTATTTCTCTGAGAATCTTAACTTCATGGCCAAATGCACATAAAAAGTTCTTGGTGCAGATATTCAGATGGCAAGGGAAGGAGGGTTATCACTGGAGGAGGGCCTGTAGGCTGTATCCTAAGAGGACTGGGCCAGGAGGGGATTTTAGCCAGTCCTCAGTGCCGGTGGCTCAGAAACCTGACCTAGTCAACACACAGTGGGTGTGGCTTCATCTCTCAGAAGCTGAGTCACACTGATCACACTCATGAGTCTAATGGGTTGACATATAACTGCCAATTTACTTACTGAACTGAGGACTCATTGTACGGATACAGGAACACTTGATGCTTACTACGGTTTTCTGTCCCCAGGATTGAACCAACATTTACTAGAGATGTCCTTGGCTATGCTTTCTTGCCAATGCATTCCCATCCTTGGAGAAATGAGTAAGTTCTGCCATGTAGTTTTCAAGTCTTGAACCAGGGAGCTATATATTTTTTTTATAACTTTAAAGTAAATCTACATATCTCCTGTAGATCAATTCGGTGTTGATCTTGTAGTTTAAATCTAAACGTAATGTTCCTTTCATTTATAAGTTATGGCAGGAGAGGGCATCAGACTGCAGGTTTTAGCTACTGACAACACTGAGCACTTGGTGCATGAATAAATTAATCACTAAGTAGGTGTTTATTGCCATCATTCCGATGAAGCTATTCTTGTCAATATAGCCAGTGACCACCAACTGCTAAAATATTGGTTAATTCTCAATTGTAAACTCAACAGCATTTCACACAGCTCATCTCTCTTGTCCTTGATTTGATTTCTTCACTTGGTTCCTATATCAATGGTTATCCCTCCAGAGACTCTTTTACTGGTTCACTGCCTCAGACTGTGTTCCTCTCCATACAAGGGAATCTCATAGTCTTATGGATTTAAATATCATCTTCATGTAGACACTCCCCCATTTCTATCTCCAGCCTAGACTTCTCTCCTGAGCACAAGGTTCATGTGTCCATCTAATTATTTGACATCTCTACTTGGATACCTTATGAACATCTCAAACATAATATATCCAAACCTAAATTCCTTATCTTGTGGCTTATGTAACTGAGTTTTGGCCTGTGGAATGTGAGTGGAAGTATACAATTTTCTCGGTCTAGGCCATAAAAATTTTTTGTGTAATCCTCTGTTGATTTTATGTCTTCTGGCTGGAAGTTGAATCCATGGGCAATCTTGAATGAAAATGGATCCATACCAATGCACATCATAATGAAATGTAAAAACACTGACTATAAGCAGAAATTTTTCCTAAGAGGAGAAAATAGATGGCCTTCCCATGAATTCTATCAAATATTTAAAGAATTCACGCCAATTATTTGAAACATCTTCCAAAAAATAGAATAAGGAACACTTCTTAATTTGTTCTAAGAGGCCAGCATTACTCTGATACCAAAGCTAAAGACATCACAAGAAAAAGTAAAACTACACGCCAATATCTTTATAAATATAGATGTAAAATTCTTACCCAAATACTAGAAAACCAGCAGCATATTGAAAAGTTTTTACACATGACCTAGGGGAATTCTCCCAGAATACAAAAGTAATTAAACACACAAAAATCAATCAACGGAATATACCACAATGACAGAAGGAAGGGAAAAAAAAGACCTATACGATTATCATGATGTATACAGAAAAAGCATTTGACAAAATCCAATAGCTTTTCATAATAAAAACACTCAACAAATCAGAAATAAAAAGAGAATTTCCTCAACCCAATAAAGGGCATTTATGAAACAGCCACACTTAACGTTTTTAAGGGTGAAAGGCTGAAAGCTTTCCACCAGAATATGACAAGAATGTCCACTTTGGCCACTTCAACTCAACAACGTGCTGGAAAGTTCTTGCCTGTGCAATTAAGCAAGACATCTAAATAAAAGGCATATTGACTGGAAAAGAAGAATTAAAACTGTTTCTAACCATAGAGGACATGTTCTTATGTACAGAAAACCCTAAAACAGCTATCAAAAGTGATTAAAATTAAGAGACGAGTTCCTCAAGGTTACAGAACAAAAGATGGACATACAAAAATTAATTCTATTTCCAAGTACCAGCAATGAACACTCTGAAATGAAATTAAGAGAACAACCTGATGTACAATAGTGTCAAGAAGAATAAAATACCTATGCATAAATTTAAGCAAGGAACCGCAAGACTTGTATACAAAAATCGTAAAATATTGTTGAAGGAAATGGAAGAGGCCCAAAATAAATTGAAAGAGATCCTGTGTTCATGGATCAGAAAACTTAATATTGTCAAAATGCAATACTCTCCAAAGCAATCAACAGAATTAGTGCGTTCCCTCTCCACCAAGGCCTCTCTGATGGCCTTTTTATAGAAATGGAAAAGCTCATCCTAAAATTCACATGCAGGTGTAAGGGACCCTGAATAGCCAAAACAGCCTAAAAAAAGAACAAAGGAGTATTCACACTTCCTGATTTCAAAACATGCCATAAAGCTTTGTTTTCAAAGCTAACACACACAGTATGGCAGGAAGATAGACATATAGATGAACGGGATTGAATTGAGAGGCCAGAAACAAACATATGCATACAAGGTTAGCTGGTTTTCAACGGGCATGCCAAGACCTTTCAATGGAGAAGGAACAGTCTTTTCAACAAATGGTATAGAAACAACTGGATATTCACATGCAAAAGAATGAATTTGAACATCTACCTCATAGTATATACAAAAAGTAACTTGAATAGAAGCGCAAATGTGAGAGCAAAAACTATCAAACTCTTTGAAGGAACTGTAGGGGTAAATCTTCACGACCTCAGATTAGGCAACAGTTTCTTAAATATGACATCTGAAGGACAAACAATAACAGAAAAAAAATAAAATGGACTTCATCAAAATGTGCAAAAATTGTGCATCAGGGAATACTATTGCGAAAGTGAAAAAACCCACAGAATGAGAGAGAATACTTACAAATCATGTATCTGATAAGGATCTGGTAGTAGAAATACATAAAGAACTCAAACAAGGATGCAAAGACAAACAACTTATTCTAAACATGGGCAAAGGACCTGACTAGACATTTCTCCAAAGAAGATAAACAAATCAACGTCAGTATCCATTAGAGGAATCCAAATCCAAATCACTTTTACAGCCATTAGAATAATAATAACAGCAGTTTAATAAAATGGAAAATTAGAAGTGTTGACAAGGATATAGACAAATTGGACACTTTGTATACGGGTGATGAGAATGTAAAATGTTGCAGGTTCTGTGGAAATTAGCTGGGTAGTTCTTCAAAGTGGTAAACATGCAGTTAGCATATGACAGCAATTCCCCTCCTAGGTGTATATCCAATGGAACTAAAGACAGATGTTCACACAAAAAGTTGCACAGGAATATTTGTAGTAGCATTACTTATAATGACCAAAAGTAGAAACAACTCAAATGTCTATCAACTGATTAATAGCTAAAGAAATGTGGCGTATTCTTACAATGGAATAGTATTCATCCATAAAAAGAATAAAGTACTGATATGTGCTACAACATGGAAGAACACTGAAAACATTATGCTAAGTGAAAGAAGCCAGCAACAGAAAGCCACATATCGTACGATTCTATGTATATGGAATGTCCAGAATAGGCGAATATATAGAGACAGAAGGTAGATTTGTGGTTGGCAGGACTGGGATTAGGGAAGAATGTGGAGTGATTGCTTAAATGGTAAGGAGGTTTTTTCTGGTGGGGGAAGGGATGAAAATATTCTGGAATTAAATAATGGTGAAGGTTGCACAACAGTGTAGATATACTTAGCACTGAGTTTTACACCTTAATGTGGTTAAAATGGTACCTTTTATGTTATGTGAAGTTCATCTCAATAAAAAAAAAAAAAAAAAACAATTCCAAAATGAGAGTGTAAACCGAAACACAGGAACTTGGGATCCAGGAATCAGAAGATGAAAGAGGAGAGAACCCAACTGGATGACGGTGACGGAGAGGGCAACCGGCTCAGAAGGCTGGAGAGTATCCATGAGAAGATGATACTGGCATCATTCCCAGCATGGCCTAAAGTACTGGGGGAGATTTACAGAACTGAGTCTGGG